GGAACTCCTTGGAAGGGACAGGGTTCAGTGCCTGCTGACAGCCAGAAGTACAATACTGTCAGGTCCAGGGACCATAGGGGCCTGAGGCATCAGACAAGGCCAAATGCTTTTCTGAACGTTTTATGTGGATCAGTTCAATTATTCAAAATATAAACTGTTGTCATTACCAGTTTGTAGATAAGGAAAGGGAGGCTCAGAAGTCATGGGCTTTGCCCAGGGTCCTGACTAAGTGGGTGTAGGTTCTGACAGCAAAAAAGAGATTTAGGGACAGGACAAAGTAGATGACTTCTTGCTTCTTCCTTCTTCCCACAGGACTGTGCTGGAGGTGAGTCATCTTGAATGAAACAGGACTTGAGGCCCAGGTGTCTAAGACAAGACATGTATCCCCTGCTGCTGCATGTTCCTCATGCCCAGCATGGCTCCCACAGGGTCTTCCCCAGTCCAGGGAGAGAGTGTCACCCATGGGGGCATCACTGAGTTATACCTGGAGGGGGAGCCAGAGAAGAGGAGATGGCTTCCAAAAGAGACAGAACTGGACATACTCAGTCCATGGAGCTGAGACTAGGCTAGAGGGAGGGAGCTGGGGTCTGGGGTAGCTCAGATTAGGGTAGGGAGAGCATCCTAGAAGCGAGAGTATTCAAGTTAGAGTCAGGAGTCTACTAGGCAGCAGGTAAGATGGTCAAACAGCATTCTAAGTACCAGACACAGCATAGGCAACGGTCAAGAGGCTGAAACCAATCCTGTCTTTCTTCCTCCTTGGCCTGTTTTGCTTTCAGAGCCTGAGCTGGATGTACGAAAGAGAACGTGAGTGTCTTCAGCCCTTGGACAGTAGGGGCCATTGGGTTGGGGAGGGTGCTGGGCAAATTTTGGACTATTAAGGTCATATGACAAAATCTGAACCACCAACCAGCAGCCACTTCTGAGGGTGCTCTTCCCAGAAGCCAGAGCAAAGAAGGGGATACTGAGCCCCAAGCAGGGCAGTGGCTGGAGCCATGACCTTTAGATTTCAGGGGAGTATGTTAGTCTCCTCCCCTCCCCTGATCCCATCTCTCATTCCCTCTTGTTACTCATGTGTGGGATCAGTGGAGTGGCACGTCCCAGGTCAGCAGATGAGAAGCAGTCAGCAGCTGAATTAGACTTCGTGCTGCAGCGGCATCAGGACCTCCAAGAAAAGCTGGCAGAGGAGATGCTAGGCCTGGCCCAAAGCCTCAAGACCAACACACTGGCTGCCCAGAGTGTCATCAAGAAGGACAACCAGGTGTGGAAACTGGGAACTCTCCAACCTCTGCCCTGGGGCATTGGAGAAGGCTTCCCAGCACAGAGCTATTGTGGTTAGGGCTTTGCTAGATGACTAGGAGTTTGGTAGAAAGCCAAAATGGCGTTTCCAACAGAGAGTACAGCACTGGCAAGAGCCAAGAGGTACAGACCTGCTGCAGCACAGTAAGGAAAGGCCATATTTGGCTCCAGTCCTATTGAGACTCTCCCCACCTCATCCACAGACCCTGTCACACTCACTTAAGATGGCTGACCAGAACCTGGAGAAACTGAAGACGGAGTCGGAGCGGCTAGAACAGCATGCACAGAAGTCGGTCAACTGGCTGCTCTGGGCCATGCTTATTATCGTCTGTTTCATTTTCATCAGCATGATTCTCTTCATTCGTATCATGCCCAAACTCAAATAAAGACCAGCCCCCACCCACCTCATCTGTCTTTTCTCTGCCCCCTATCCCTGTCCAGGGCTGCCTTTTGGGGTGGGCAGTGAGATGGAAGAGTCCTTAGAGGTTGCTGAGAACCGCAAAAAGTGCATGAGCAGAGGAAGGAGGGGTCAGGCTTGGGAGACAGTGACTTATTAAATGCTCCCTCCTTTCTTCTTAATGCCTGCCCCATGCTGGATAAGACCAGGCTCCAAGAGGCCATGGGAACCTCCAATTTGACAGAATCAGAGCTAAACATAAAGCCTTCAGCACTGTGAGGTCAGAGTGAGGTCAGATTGAGGCCAGAGAGCATGGGGGAGGAGTGGGGCTATATTTGGAGCTCAGCACAGAGAAGGGGACATCGATGTTGGGCCTTCCATGGACCAAAGGCAATAATTTAGAGACAGGGGTCAGCCCAACCGTATTGTCAGCTCTTAAGACACTGCAGATCCCTCACACAGTCATTCAACAAACACATGTAGGTTGTGCCAAAAGTTTAGTGGAAACTCTGTCCCCTCCAGGTCACATTCTGATTGAGCAGAGAACTGGGTAGGCACTGCGGTTGAGACCTTAGCAGAGGTTGTGGAGTAGGAATCCTTGGGAAACCATGGGTTCTGCGTCCTCATCTCAACTTCACACAGGCATAGCCTATAAGGGCAGTTACTGAAGGAGTTCAGTGAAGGAAGGAGGGTGGGCAAGTGACAGGTACCTGGGATAGCTGTCCCATGGGAATGTGAACAGATATGCCAATGCTGTACCCTCTGTTGGGAATGCCATTTTTTGCCTTCTACCAAACTTCTGTTCATCCAGCAAAACACTAACCACAATTCCCTTTTGCTGGGAAACCTCCAGTGCCCCAAGGCAGGCACCAGAGAGGGCATCTACATGAGTGGCAATGAGGTTGATCCCCATCAACACAGGGGTAAAACCACCAGGAGGAGATTTTTTAAAACTCAAGTGGTATAGCCAGGCCTGGTGGCTCATGCCTGCACTCTTGAGAGGCTGAGGCAGGTGGATTGCCCTGAGCTCACAGGTTCGAGATCAGCATGAACAAGAGTGAGACCTGTCTCTAA